TGAAGCAACATCCTCCACAACTAGGCCGAAGACCAAAAAACGACAACAACTTGTCTGTTCCCCTTCCCCAACTCCCCAGCGCTGTTCCCATCCCCCCAATTCCCCAGTAAAAATCTTAAAAAAAAAAAAGAGCAATGCAAACAGCAGTCTACACTGCTACTTTAAAAAAAAAAAGAAATCGAGAAAAAGTTTCAGTAAAAGAAAGTAAGGAAGGGAATGAAAGACCAAACTAATAGTAAATAAAGCTAAGGACATTAGTGAAAATGGCAGTCAAAACCTCAAAAATTCTTTCTTCGACAAAAGCAAGGAGAAAATTGGCAAAATTGTAAGAAACAAATTCTTTAGAACCTAGAAAATAACCAAAGGTTTGTAGCAATTCAGGGAGCATCTATCTATTCAAGAAAAACAGCTGAACCTCAATAACAGCAGTAAATTTTGTGGTCTTTTAATCTGCCCTAATCTCATGCCCTGCTCTCCAGAGCCATAGTAGCTTTAAAACTTACAGTTCACATTCAAAGTGAAAACCAGGAGTTGGAACTTTTTCAAAACTTTACTCCCAAAGAACTGTCTTTATTTGACCTTTTTGGTGGTTCCCTAAGAAGACCTCACTTGCCCTTTAGGTCAAACGATAGACTAACCAAAAAATTTAGTAGGAAAAGCTGGCATATGAGATTCCCATAAAGGCTTTGAAAAGCTCTGATAAATTTCTAAAAATCTAGAAGATTTTTAATAAGAAAAATCCAATGATTTTTACAAATTAAATTTTTACTATAATAGAAGTACAGCATTCCCCACCCCATTCCCTCCACACTAGCATAAAAATAGACACAAAGATCAACGGAACAGAATAGAGTCTAGAAATAAACCAACACCTATACGGTCAACTATTCTACTCATATGACAAAGGAGGCAAGAATATACAATGGGGTAGAGAAAATCTCTTCAATAAAATGACGCTGGGAAAACTGGACAGATACAGGCAAAAAAAAAAACCAACCCAAAAAACTAGATCACTTTCTTACACCATATACAAAAATAAACTCAAAATGGATTAAAGACTTTAAGGTAAGACCCGAAACCATAAAACTCCTAGAAGAAAACATAGGCAATAAACTCTTTGACATCACTCTTAGAAATATTTTTTTGGATATGTCTCCCCAGGCAAGGAAAACAGAAGAAAAATAAACAAATGGGACTACATCAAACTAAAAAAGTTTTGCACAGGAAAGGAAACCATCAACAAAACAGATATGGTGGCTGGGTGGCTCAGCAGATTAGAGCGCATGCACTGAGCAACAGGGTTGCCAGTTTGATTCCCACATGGGCCAGTGAGCTGCGTCCTCCACAACTAGATTGAAGACGACTTGAGCTGAGCTGCTGCTGAGCTGCTGGTGTGCAGCTGGATGGCTCAATTGGTTAGAGTGCGTGCTCTTAACAATGTTGCTGGTTTGACTTCCCCATGGGATGGTGGGCTGCACCCCCCACAACTAGATGGAAAAAAAAGGTGACTGGACTTGGAGCAGATGGGTCCTGGAAAAAACACACTGTTCCCCAATAAAGTTTAAAACAAACGAACAAAACAAAAAGCCTACTGAATGGGAGAGGATATTCACCAATGATACATCAGATAAGGAATTAATATCCAAAATATATAAGGAACTCCTACTTACCATAATACTTAACATCAAAAAACCAAACAATCCAATTAAAAAATGGGCAGAGGACCTGCACAGACATCTCGCCAAAGAGGACATACAGGTGGCCAATAGACATATGAAAAGATGCTCAATGTCACCAATCATCAGGGGAATGCAAATTAAAACCACAATGAGATATCACCTCACACCTGTTAGAATGGCTATCATCAAAAATCAACAAGTGGGGCCAGCTGAGTGGAGCGATGGTTAAGAACTGGCTTGGGATGCCAGAGGGCCCCGGTTTGGATCCCACATATGAGGGCCAGTGACACTGCCCTCCACAGCAAAGATGCTGAACAACAGCTCAACCTGGAGCTGGGCTGCAGTGAGTCGCTGGCGATGGCGTAGGCTGCAGCCCCTGTGGCAGTGGGTTGCCATGGGCTACCGTGTGTAGCCAGCAGCCAGCGTGAGCGGCCAGCAGCCGCAGTGAGCGGCTGTCCAGAAGCCGGCGACTGATCAGCCTCGCCCAGGAAGAGCGCAATGATGGTGCCAACCTGGGCCAGTGAAGCAACATCCTCCACAACTAGACTGAAGAACAAAACGACAGCAACTTGTCTGTTCCCTTTCCCCCAATTCCCCAGCACTGTTCCCATCCCCCAATTCCCCAATAAAAATCTTTAAAAAACAAAAACAAAAATCAACAAGTGTTGGGCCGGCCAAGTGGTGTGTTGGTTGAGTTGGCTTGGGATGCCAGCTCTAGGCAGTAGGGCCCCGGTTCAGATACCACATGAGGGCCAGTGACCCTGCGCCCCTCTACAGCTAAGATGGTGAACAACAGCTCAACCTGGAGCTGGGCTGCCAGGAGTTGCCGGCAATGGCGTAGGATGCAGTGGGGCAGCAGTGGGCTGCCGGCAGCCGGTGTGAGCTGTCAAGAGCTGCCATGAGCAGCCGTCCAGTGGCTGGCAACCGATCTGCCTCACCTGGAAAGAGCGTAATGATGATACCAACATGGGCCAGTGAAGTGGTGTCCTCCACAACTAAACTGAAGAACAAAAGGACAGCAACTTGTCTGTTCCCCTTCCCCGATTCCCCAACGCTGTCGTCCCCCCCCAATTCCCCAATAAAATCTTAAAAAAAAAAAGAGTTGGCTTAAGAGCACGAGCTCTGAGCAACAGGGCTGCTGGTTTGATTCCCACATGGGCCAGTGATGCTGGGCCTGAGATGAGCTGTTGCTGAGCTGTCAACAGGTGGCAGGATGGCTCAGCTGGTATAACAACAAGATTGCTTGTTTGATGGTGGGCTATGCTCATCCACAACTAAGACTGAACTCGGCACCTTGAACTGAGCTGCCACCCAGATGGCTCAGTGGATAGAGCGTGCACTCTTAACAACAAGGCTGCTGGTTCGACTCCTGCATGGGATGGTGGCTACACCCACCTGCAACTAAGACTGAACACAGTACCTTGAGCTTAGAGGCCATGAGCTGCTGGCGGGAAGCCAGATGGCGACTTGCGCCCTCCACAACAAAGACTGAAGAACAACAACTTGGCTAGTCCCCTTCCCCAATTCCCCAATACTGTTCCCCTCCCCCAATTCCCCAATAAAATCTTAAAAAAAAAATCAGCAAGTGTTGACCAGGATTTGGAGAAAAGGGAACCCTTGTGCACTGTTGGTGGGATTGCAAATTGGTGCAGCCACTATAGAAAATGGTACGGAGGTTCCTCAAAAAATTAAAAATAGAACTACCACGTGACCCAACAATCCCACTTCTGGGTATTTATCCAAAGAAAACCAAAACACTAATTCAAAAAGAGATATGGTAAGCCGGCCAAGTGGCTCACTGGTTAACAGTTGGCTTGGGACGCCAGCTCTGA